CGTCCAGATGACGTCCAGAGTGTATAACTCAGCGACAAAAAGGCTTTTTCCAGCACGAGACTCTTCACTTTCCGGAACTTTTTATCCGAATAAGCTACTAGGAACAAGTGCATTGCTTCTAGTAACAAGTGCCTTACTAGTAGTAACAAGAAGCTACTTGTTACTACTAGCGATGCACTTGTTACTACTATATAGCGATGCACTCCAGCACGAGACTCTTCACTTTCCGGAACTTCAGTATGACCTGAATCATTCACCGGCTGATTCACCTCAAACGTTGTGACGAGACCACGGAATGTTCCATCGGACATTGCCCTCATTGGTTCCGCCTCAATAGGCCAAAACAGTAGCGAACCTTGCTCCTAGTAGCGATGCCCTTTGTTCCTAGTAGCTTCTTGTTTCTAATAGCTTCTTGTTACTACTAGTAAGGCCCTTGCTCCTAGTAGCGATGCACTTGTTCCTAGTAGCTTCTTGCTCCTAGTACTAGTAGTAAGGCCAAGAGCCCCTAGTAGCGTCCAATCGCCTCGAGGGCTGTCCACGGGTCGCCGACCTGACTGCGCGGACCGTACCTCAGTGTACCGGGAAACGGGGAACGCTTGCGGGGGGGCGGCAAACGCCGCGCCGGCGACTCGGCAGGACGTCAGTCTCCCACGAACCTCTTTTCAAGGCCGCTCTACCCCCCTACCTAGAAGCAATGGCCCCCAACCTACTATTGCGACGGCCTCCAACCTAAAGAGCGATGGCCTCCAACTTGGCAGGACATCGTTCTTCTCGAGTTTGCTCTGCTGGACGGGCGTCGCCAAGCTGTGGAGCTCTGAGGCTCGAAGGGCTCGACGAAGAGCGAAAAACGATGGTGGCAACAAGGGGTGAGTGGGTTGGACGAAGGGGTGACAAGCGGGAAGTGGAGTGGAAGAGTGGAAGTGGAAGTCCGTGTTCATTCATGTGGAAGTCCGTGGTTCACTGAATAAGTTGAACATAGATTGAGAATGTCGTCGTTACCAGAATGATGGATGGCAGCTGTCTTTGTCGAGACAGGCCGCCTCGCGCCACCACACTCCAACGATCCTCCCCGGAATCTTCAAAAGCCTCGTTTGTAGTGTTGATATATGTTGAAGGGAGAAGACTATGCAGGAAAGGCAGAGTCTCTCTACAAGAAGGTCTCAATGTTTTCCCGCAGAGCTTCTGAAATACTGAGCAGTTCAGAAGCCATATATCTAATATATAATTAGCTTTATATTCTATATACTATCATAGATTGTTTATTGTTTAAAGAAGGAACACCCGACACCTGCTCACGTTGAATCACTATCCAATCATCCATAACACAGAGTGCAGTGGATTCTTGAGAACATGGGGTTGACCTCGTCATAAGCGAGGTTGATGGTGGGTTTGTCATGAAACTCTCCTGTGTCGTCACGTGGGGTAGATGGGAAACCGGTTCCTAAACCGGTTCCTGCCTTGCTGCTTCACGTCAATGCAACACAATCGAAACAATTGGCATATTTGGCTATCAGGTACCATTGGGTACCATGCCCATTTGGTTTGGGCAATGGCTGGCCTATGAAAGTTTCAATCATGTGATATCATGTGACATTTGTTGCTTCATATTGTACGGCACGCTCATGGACTTATGGATCATTGTACAATTATGTATAGACTGTATAGAACATGTTTTGCCCAAAAGCCGCACAAGCCTTCGCCTCGAACTTCTCCCGTCCGGCAGAAACACACGAGCGAGGCCTCCCCGAACGAGGCGGTCCCAAGTGGCCCTCTCCGCGCCGTGGTCGGTCGGTCGTCCAAAGGGTGGTCAGGTTGGTTGCAGGCTACGGTAGGGCTTCAAATGAGGTCGTGTTATGTCATGTTGATTTCATATGATTTCATGTTTGGTCCGAAATGTATTTGGCAGGGGACTGCAACCTATTTGCAATGGCCTCTCACTAATTTTAGGAGTTGGCCAAAAAGCAAGCTGAGCTCTTGGACTCACTGGTCCTTTTCGTGGTGTAGCATGGCCCAGAGCCATAGAAGTGACTGAAGAACTGAATCCAGAAGACTCAGAGATGCCTTCGTCTCCCAAAAATAGGGTCCACGAACAGGAAGATGAGGCAGGGGACCTTGTTCTGCCAGGCTTTGGTGAAAAAGAGACAAAATAGTGGACCAAAAGCACCTCGTCTTACATCTCTTCTGGGTTTTGCTTAGCTTTTGTCGGTGTTGTTTCGCGGCCTGCGTGAAACAGCACAGATCCTGTTTCTTTGTGGTGTGAAAGTCCAGGTGAAGTCGAAGCCCATGGACCGGAAGGCAAGAGACGTTTGACTTCGTTTCGTGAGCGACCTCTGAGGGAAATGGTTTTCTCACTTGTTTATTCCCTACCTTCAGCAACATGTTTTTGGATGCAGCACCACATTCTCACCAACGACGTGCCAAGAAGGTGCAAGTTCCGGGAACCCCCAAAACGGACTGACTTCTTGAGCACATGTGATGTGGCGCCACATGTGGCTTGAAAAGAGTTCTTGTTCCTTGGGGGTGGGCGAAACATCACTCGTTCCTTCAAACAACAGAAACCGTGTGAAAAAGCATCATGCAAAAGGATGAGGATCAGATCATGTGTGTGAGTGTGTCGAAAAGAAAGGTGACAAGGCATCTCTACGTATACAATAGTATACAATATGAGAAGCTAGCATTCTCACAGCCAGGCGATGGCATCCAAAGGTACAAAGATGATGCACTGAGATAGGGTACAAAAATGTACAAAAGCCGATCGCAGTTGTTCAGGATACGGTTGAGGTAGGATTTCCATCTCTGGACTCTGAATCGACGGTCCATATCATTCCTGAATACAGAATGCGGTGGGTTGAAGATATCTATATAATTCCCTCGAAAGAAACGATTTCATGCCTCACTGTCACCTTGCAACGCCTTGACACAGCGGTTGACTTCAGTTCAGGCTCTACAAGAATCCATTGGGGGTGTCCCATTGCCTGTAACAGTGTTCTAGAGAAAGGCCTGCAAACCCAACCATCATCATCCACCTGTTAAAGAATAATTGCACTAGTATCACTAGTAGCTCATTGTTCCTAGTAAGAATGCTCCTAGTAGCGATGCCAGGAGCCCCTAGTAGCGTCCTTGCCCCTGGTAGTAAGGCCAGGAGCCCCTAGTAGCTTCTTGTTCCTAGTAGCGATGCCAGGAGCCCCTAGTAGCGTCCTTGCTCCTGGTAGTAAGGCCAGGAGCCCCTAGTAGCTTCTTGTTCCTAGTAGCGATGCCAGGAGCCCCTAGTAGCGTCCTTTGCTCCTAGTAGTAAGGCCAGGAGCCCCTAGTAGCTTCTTGTTCCTAGTAATATATCCAAATTCAAGAATCCATATTTTTGGAGGCCGCTTCTAGGTTGAAGGCCGCTATGAGGAGCTGGCAGTATGTGAGAGATGTTCCATCCCTTCGACTTTTAGACCTTCCGGGCCCGAGTCCACTATAGTGCTATATGAACAATGTTCGCTACTAGCATTGCTACTAGCAACAAGTGCCTTACTAGTAGTAACAATGTTTGCTATTAGAAACAAGAGTCCAGGTCAAACTGCACCGTTTTTTTTTCCAAGTGTTCGTCGGCGTCGAAACTGCACACTGCTCCACTAGCCAGTCACAATTGGCAATACATCAGTCACTGAGTCACAATACATTCAATACATCTTGCCTTTGGGGGGGCAAGGGCCTTACTGACTACTCTTGGCTACTAATGACTCCCGGAGCTTGCCTAGCAGGCAAAGCTTCAGCTGCCTGGAGGCCGTTTGGAGCGCTTGCCAGAGCTCCTGGCAGGTGGGCAGTATCCAGCAGCGGGCCGAGAAAGTAATCGATTCGATCTGAATGCTTTGAGTATTGGTTCTGTTAAATGCTCCTGGGTGCATGAAGTCATACACATTTCTGGGTGCATGAGAATTGTCCGGCGCCCTCCAACAGGTAGACCTCCAACGGTGTCTCGCTTGGCCACTCTAAAGTGGCAGCTGGGTGACCTCTTGGAGGCTATCGCTACTAGGTCGGTCGAAGTACTCTTGGAGGGGTGATGAAATGCCCATGTTTTATCCTATCAGATCATCCTCAGATCATCCGGTCCAGTATCTTCATGGCAGATCGCCAAGTCGGAGTCCACTGTGAGTGGTGGTATGCCCTTGAGTCCGCAATGCGAGACCCACCCTCCAACTGGTCAACCAGACGTTTGACGCGGTGGTGAATAGAGTATAGAGTCCCACATCATCCACATAGAGTGTTCTTTTTCAATACTCTTTGAGCTACTGTACCTACTATGTATACTAGCTTCAATATTCACCTTTATCTCATATCCAATTGCATATCAGAGAAGATTAAATAGCTGGTTTGGGACCTTCTTGGTTCGTTGAAGCAAGCCATGTTTGTGCACTTTGGACTTCACATGAGCTTGACCTTTGCAGGACAACGAGATCTCGGAGCTAGCCCTGACCAGATAGAGGCGCGGGGGGCGGATCTCATCTCGTAGGTGGGTCAACCTGTGGGTCATGGCACCGGGATATTGACCGTGGTCGATATGCCTGGTGTTGGTCGTTCGCCAAAGCTCCGGTTGACCGATCCCTCCTGGTTGATCCGCCAGTTCTTCAATGTCTCGCAAGCCAGGCTAAGCCAGGTCCGCTTTTTTGAGGATTACAAAAGGGCTCCATGACCTCGCACCATAATGGTTCAAAGAAGAACCTCCGGGCTCTTTTCTGAAGAGAGTGGGACGTTGTGGAGCCCCGTGTTTTACAGTTTGGTCTTTTGCTGCAGAGGCCTTCAGAGCATCCCTTTCTGTTTCTGAAACGATGCGATCAGAGTTTTGGGTACCAAACACCGCGGCCTGAGCGGGCAGAGGGGCAAAGCTTTTCAGATTCCTCGTATGCACACAGGGCGTAGACGACGGCCTTTCTACCCTGCCTCGCCACGCGTTCGCATCCGATCGTGTCGGTGTTGTCATGATCGAATTCTCAGAGAAGGGAGTGATTTGGAAGCAGAAAAGTTAATAGGAAAGACCAATGAACCATAATGAACCATTCACTATCCAACCACAGCTTTTCCCACCAACTTTCATTGAAAAGACATTCAGTGGATCAACGGCATTATGGTATGAGCTTTCCGGTGACATCCAGCTCTCGTAGTACGTTTCATCAAATTTATGATGGTTTCCTCGTGGGGGCGCGGGGATGCAAGATGAAGACATCTTCAAATAGTTGGCCCACATGTCCAGAGAAACAGAGCGACGCCCCGCTCACCCGTCAAACCAGGGTACACCCTGAAAACCTCCAATCAAGAGGCAGACATCTATTGAAAGAAGAATTGAAAGGAGTCACATGCAGCAAAACGATTCATGTCTAGTGAGTCTAGTAGGTTGGAGATGGTTGGAGCCCATCGCTAGTAGGTATAGGAAGCAAAACGATCAATGTCTTCCATTCGCCCCATGGCGCGTGCCATTGCCACTCCACAGCGCGGCCCTCATGTGGCTGATCTGGTGGAGTTGGAGCAATCCTTGGAGGCGCAGCGGACGGCGCAGCGTGTGGATGCTGGAGTTCCAAAAAGAGGACTCCTGGGATGACTCGCTGGGGTCATTTGGCTCTGTCCGTTCTTACCTGTAACAGTCGAACAAGTATCACTATATTTTAGAGAAAGGCCTGCAACCTATAACCGTCATTCACTGGGTAGCGGTGACCCAAGGTATGGTGTTTTCTCTTCCTCTTTGAACGGGGGGATTGAGCTGGGAGGTCTCACTGTTTTTGATACACTCTCATGTGTAAACCAGACATTTGGGTCACAGGTTTGATTCTTTGATCATGAATGTGTTTGTGTGTGTTACTGGAGTGTGACGGGGTTGATTACTGTCCGGCAACATACTCAATGTCCAACATCTTCAAAGTAACCTTCAATGAAACACGTGTTCTTTTCGTCTGACCAGATCATCCTGTATTGACATGTGCTCTCTCCCTCTATCATAGACAAGCACCAGCCATCCAGAAAGACCATTGTGTTAGATAGTTGGTGCCTACGCAAGGTGTGTACTTGTCACCGTTTATTTCAACATGATTGGCTCATACGTCGCCATACGTTGTTATCTCCTTCTTCATCTCCATTTTGTTTAGTCTTTGGGAGGCACCCCTACGCCAAGTTGGAAAGGTTTTGTAAACTTACCTGGCTAGTGGGCGGAGATCCAGCAGCTGGCTCTCATGGGGTCGAGCAGTTCACTTCACAGACGGGGTTGCAATCAACAGAGGCAGCCAAGCAGCTCTTGCAGAAGCTGGGTCACTTGCAAGGGCCTGCGCGACAAGATCTGCTTCGGAGGTTGAAGCCGGAATTCCAGGCCACTCGGATCGTGCCTGGTCGGAGGGTTGGGTCCACGCATGTGGGGACGATGAAACCAAAGCAAAAACCATACAAAAGAGGGTCTCTTACCCATTGATCATATAAGTGATAATAACATGTGACTACCAGTGTGGTATACCAGTGTGGGTCTATCAGTCTATCATGGTAGCATATGGTGTCTTCGACCCGTTGAATGATTGGGATGCCCAAAGGACGAATGATCAAGACACCACATTTTGTTCCTTCATGTGTCCGCGTTTGGGAGGCTTGGCAGGAGCAGTGGGACACTGATGATGGTGCCCTTGAACCAGAGGAAGACCTCTCGGAGGAGGAATATTGGGATTCAGATGGGGATGGTCAAGACATCAAGAAGGCACGGTCAAAGAAAGAGTAAGACGTGGAACTAGAAACCTACTTTGGATAGATGACATTTCCTCTTAAAGTCAAGGAGATTGATGCGGTCGCATCCTTGATGGTGGAGTGCAAAGCCATTGAGAGGAACGATACGTAGCTGTTTTTGTTTTCACAGCTCCGAGTTCCAACCTTCGGCAGCATTCCTTTGCAGGCCCGTCGTGCTCCTCCAGCGCTCACTGATGACTACCCCATGGTCTGGGGGCAGCACCTTCCAGGCTATGCTGGCTTCAACCAGAAAGCCCAAGAGTGCCTGAGGAGAGGATTTCCTGAGGGAATTTGAATGAATGTATTTGCTCATTGGTTTTCGGCCAGTGTGGGTCGAAAACCTGACAGATCCACCTGACAGATCCACGGAATCACTGATCTTTCTTCCGAGGAGTTTGGCATCTTGGCGCTCCTCCACGCAGGGCCATGTGGAGCTCTTGCCTCAGCAGAAGGTGGTAGCGAACCTCGTTCACCCACGTAGTCCTGTGGCGCGGCTGCTGGTGGACCACAACACCGGCAGCGGCAAGACGCTTTGTATGATCAGGGTCTTGGACAACTTCTTCTTCGATGCGAGGGCAAAGATTGTGATCTTCCCAAAGGCCAGTTCAGCATCCAAAGCCATCCAAAGCCTGTTGACCAGTCATGAGTATGAATTGGTGCTTTGGGCAGTTTTTCTAGCCTATATAATCCCCTCTCCCTAATAATAAACGGGCCTCCCCCCCCCCTATTAATAAAAACCTGGGGTGTTTTTACTAATAGGAGGTGTTTATTATTGAGGGGCACCTGTTGTACCCCCAAATGGGCAATGTTCTGTTCGCCCTAATAAAAAGTAGGGGCTCGAAAGAAAATCCCTGGGTTCCCAATCTAATTATATAATTATATAAAATCCTTGTTAAAGCGACCATCAAAAAAACAACAAAGGGTCAAATCGAAGGTCTTCCCCCTCTTGTTGGTTTCCTAGACCAACTGTTGATGCACCCAATGAATGAAAACACATCGCTGCAAAGAGCAATGGATAGCGCAATCAGGAAAGCAAAATTAATTAGGAACATTGGCACAGACTAAGAGGTATTTTTGGGGGAGGATTGGATATGTTTTTAATATTAGGGGGAATTCGGGTTATTTTTGCTGTCCCCCTAATACACCTAAAATCTGGGGCACCCCCGACTGTGGACCCACGAGTATTGAATTTCAAAGGGAGCAATTTCAAAACGCTACTAACAATTTTTTGGGGTCGGGCACATGTGTTTTTATTAATTGGGGTACGTTTATTAATAGGAACTAGGGATTGTTGCTAGAAACATCAAGACACTGCTTGGAGAGAACAAGTCCCGTTGCATGTGGTGAAAAAAGTCTATTCCTTGCGAGGACACCGTCGTTGACAACTTCTACTCCTCCTTGTGGGAGTGGCCGTCTCGGTGGCGCGACTACTGCTGCCAGCTCAACCAGGCAAAGCGACAAAAACGGTATCCTTTGGAAGCCTTCGGGTATCTCCGGGTGCTTCAGAATTTGGTTGGTTTGGGGTTTGGGGGGCTTTGGATGGCAGGCCATTACTGCGCAACACCACGAAGACGGCGCAAACATGGTCTGACTACTAACTTGTTACTTCTTGGTCAGGAGAAGGCAGCCCTAGCTTGTGGACACTCGGATTGGCGGGCTGTGCGCTTTGAGCGGTGGTGCCTAGCACAGAGCTCTGGGCTCCAGGCCATGGCACAGCGAAAAGGGCTCAGTCTTCATATGGTCATCAAGGTGGAGATGATTGCAACTTTGGTGCGTTTGCTTTCACCTGTCACGGTCGCCCGTAACTCAAGAGAACTTGAATGGCGCTCCACTACTTCCCACGCACGGGACTTTATTGCGCGTCGCCCTCGTGCGTTTGTTTTTGAAGGGAACATTCATCTGTGGGCAAGGGTTCAGTCGCTGTCGAGTCTAGGAAGTCCACAGCGCATGGAACGGGACCTCACAGACGAAACTAAAGAGGTCTCGAAACTGCCTCGCTATGTGTCGCGTATGGTTTCCGGGGGGCTCCACAAGCTGTGGCTTTTGCTTGAGTTTGCTAGAAAGCGCGTCCTCCGTGAATTCAGGCAACCATGCGGCAGACCTTGGAGATGAAGCGTGCTGTGCGAAGTGGAGCCATGCGCCAGGCCTTTGTGCAGAAGCCGCTCGCTGAGCAATTTTTGGGGAGGGAGGTTGTTGCGGAGCCAGAGACTCCTCGTCAAGACATGCTGGAAGACAGCAAGACTAAGAAGCTAGAAGCAGCTAGAATAGCACACCCTGGAAAAGAACCTTCGTGCACACAGTGTCAGTGTTTTGCAAGAGTCGCCAGATTAGAGTGGCCTCTGAACTGTTTCGATTGTCAGTGCACAAGTGACGCAATGCCTTTCTTTCATCACATCACTTCCCATCTCCTTTGTGAGCACACGCCCAGCTGCCTAGGTATTGGCAGTCAATGCCAGGGAACGAAGACGTTCATCCTCCAGCAGCCCCCTTACGTGCCTACCGCTTCACCAGCGCCGGCGGCCGGGCCGCCGAAGTGGTGGATGGCTTTCCCCGGGCATGCATCTTCAAGGCTGACGATGGATTAGACGCATGAATGTGGCCACAGGACACCCAAACAGGGAAATCAGATTGCTTCTTCAGATTGAATCAGCTGTCAGATTGCTTCGTTGTAAATGTCTCTTGTTTTCTTGATCTTGCGCACGGGGCTTGAAGACCTTGGCTGTGGGCATTGCATTTCCATCGGGAGTTGCTAATGAAGTGGGGTCCCGGCCTGTCACTGCAGCCCCAAGCAGCGGCTTCGTGATGCGCGGTGCTTTTGCCAGGTTGGGTTCAATGCCAGGGAGGCAAACCCATACTCCAACAAGGTGATCTTGTTGGACGAAGCTCACCACCTCACGCGCCCGAACAAGCTCTACCAGCAGTAGCTTCAGTCCCTCAGGAGGCGCGCGTGTGACCCCAAAGCACCCTGCAGGGGTCTTTGGATTAGGAAGCAGCAGAGCATGCAGAAGTTCATGTGTAAGCAATGGTCAAACGGAGCATTGAAATCAACGGTTGGCAAAACCGAGCTCTGAAGATTGAGGAATGGTCAAGTCCGCGGTGCATGTCCCTTTCCTATCAAAAACAGCGATCAAGTGGTTCCAGCAATCCTTAGAAATCGTACCTGGCACCTGCCAACTCCAGCTGCCAAGTCCAGGCATGTGGAGACTGCCACGAAGTGCGTGCTCGTGGCCTGCACCGGGTCTATGGAGTGCGATATGCGCTCCCCACGAGACCTGCTGAATGCCATTAAGGGCTCTCTAGGCTAGGCTCATGTGGGCGAAAGAAGTTTTAACTTGGTTTGCTCTCGTAGACATCCCCATGCTCTAGATGAACCGGCTGCAGTCCGAAAGATTTGGGAGCGTGATTTTTCTATATTGTTGTTGCAGAGATTCCTGAATAAATATGCTCAGCGGTTTTGCGCAGTGCTGTGCATGCGGAGTGTCCGCTTGATAACTTGCAAAACACGGATAGGGGACTGATTCCTTGCATGGCGGCTTTCGTGCTGGGGGCCCTGTTAGGTCAGAACCTGTTGGATGAAGGCTTCTTGAGTTCCCACCACCGACGAGGCCGAAGTTTCCCTCAGCAAACCCCAATGAACTGTGCAGATGGGGCGTTTCAGGAACACCCACAGTTGCTGCCTCGGATAAGCTTGGTGGGTACATCGGAAGCACGGTACATCTACCAGGCCGTCAGGGTGGTGAAAGAGGATAGGGATGAAGCATGTTTGGCAAACTTCACCAATGTACATGTGTACTTTGGGTGCGTCAACCAAGCGACCTGCAAAGATCAGCTGATGCGACAGCCAAACACCAGACCAAAGTGCAGCGCTGTCGTGGCTGAAGTTGTGCAAGCGGCGCAAAGAAAGGAGAAGTGCTTGGTGATGGTCAGCCGTCGCACTGGGTATGCTGCAATGTTGAACTTGCTGGAGGAAGCTGCTGCGAAGAACAGGTTTCGAGTGGCTCAATATGGCAAGCTTACTGACTTCAATGACAGTTCCAACTGTCATGGGGAACGGTACCTGGTGATGCTGTTAGACTCAGACAAAAGCAGCGAAAGCGTAGAGCTGAAGTGTGTGCGGCGAGCACTTTACTTGGATGCTCCCTGCTTGCAATTCAGTCAGTCAGACGAGTGACCAGTGTGACGTTTCCCGCCGCTATGGCGCGTGCTGTTACCATGCCTGCGCCCAGCGTTTTGTGAAGTTATCGAAACTCACATGAGCTCAGGTCCCCTGCAGCTTTGTTGCTTTCAAGCAACGATGTGGGCGCGTGGTCCGATGTGGCTCGCACGACGATCTTCCTTGCGCCCAGAGATCCGTGAAGTTTGTGTTTTTCACCGCCACGTTCTCGCAGCATATGCAAACTGTGGCTTGGCTGCAAAGAGGGCGGTGAGAGGGAGGGATAATTGCCAACGTTTTACGTCTTTTATTCCATAGCACACAGGCTGTGGTTTAATATGATGGTCCTGTGTGTGGCAGCAAGACGAACATTATAGAACGTTTTTTAGCACCGGCTTACACAACGGTGGCGGATATTTCTGCAAAATCTTATGCTTTAACTATTGCAAGCTAACGGCATCTAACGGCCTGCATGTTGATTTTGAAACGGGAAGAGTGTGCGTGGACTGGTGAGGTGTTGCATTCTTTTTGAGCAAAACTGTTGCGCAAAGGAACTCGGTGCCTTTGCAGTGCGGGCTTTGTGTGGCCATTGGCATGGCCCGAAGAAGGCCAGCGCATGACATCGAACAAAGTTTCGTCGTGTGTTGCTGGCCAGTCACATCGAAAAATTTGGTAGTGTGCTGCCAACCCACGCATGAAGCTTGATGGGAAAACTTTAGTCAGCGCATGCCAGCCGGCCAGCCCATTCCAGTTCCCCGCTTGCATGCGTCAGGTCAACTACAGCACAGAGCCAGAACCAACAGGTTTGTTGGCAGTCGTGGAAAAATTTGTGCAACGTGGCTGCACCTGACAGACAGACCGTTTGAAGCAACGATTCCAACGCATGTATATAATGTTTTATAATATATATATATATGAATATATACATATATATATAATATTATATATATTATATATGTCATTAGCATGGTGCTTGACATCCTGAAACAGCCATCTGAGGCCCTCCCAAGTTCCTCTTGATGTTTCGGCAAGTCGCCGAAAAAAACACCGTAAACAGATAAACATACATGCTTCCTTCCACATTGGATCCACAACAGGTAAAATGAAATGTGTAAACAACAGGCCTTTAACATTAACTTATAACCACAAAATTCCAATCAGTTTGCATGCCGGACAAAATTTTCACATGTTCAGCACTGTCTTGTTCTGGGCCCCTGCCAGCAGACTGTCCGAGGAAACGTGCGACGCGCAAGAACATCAACAATTTGCGCCAGCTTCGATCTCGCCTTCGGAACAACGCGGTGCTTTTCGACAAGGTGACCGAGGCTGGTGAGGGTGTTTGGGGAGGATGCCTTCACCCATCTATGTGAAACTTAATGATGCACACCGTCAAGGCCAGATGTCAAGACATGTTCAGTGTTAAAGGATGGTTTTCATTATTCCTGTATACTGTATACTGTATACTGATGTTTCATGTTTCAGTCGGGATGACATACAATTTTTGGCTGCAACTGTACTTCATTGCAAGCAAATGGTTTGCCACCATATGGCCCCATCCCCATTTCGTCTGCACATGGGGTAACAGTAGCAATCTAGAATAATTGCTATAAGAGGGGGCTTGTAGTTTGGTCAAGATGGATAAATCGCAAGCCTTAGCCTTTGGCATCAGCTGGCCAGCCGATGTGGTATGTTTCATTATAGTTTTATCACAATTCGTGCTGGCCAGGACCGCAAGCTGAAGCAGCGCTTGGAAGCAGGCCTGGATGCAGTCGAATCTGCTTCGTCGGAAGAGCTGGAGGAGATTCAGGAGCGTCGCCGTTTTTGTGTTTTGGCATTCTGTTACGTTTCATCTCCAAAGTGCAGTGAACAGACAACATTGGTCTGTTGATTGGCGCCAGAACTGAATTCAATCATGTGTTTGTTGTAAGCCTCCAGATTGAGAGTGCTGTGAGTTCCATACGGGTTTTGCCATGAGCTTGTTGTGCCCTGAAGATGACTAGTTTGTGGAGTGCAAAAGGATTTAGTCAAGTGCTGACCAGGAGGCAAGTTGCAGCCGGTGCTGTTTGAGGGTGTGTGGGTACGTGATTTTCAAGTTTGGATCAGAAACCAATCATGGAGGTCAGCAGGCCTTCCATTCCATTTGTTTCAGATCCCAGAACGGCTGATTTACAAATTGAAAGATCTCCAGGGTCACAAGTCGCTCCTCGGAACAGGCACTTTGATCCGAAATGGTGATTAATTGGCCCGTCGATGTCTAGAAAATAGAGTCGTACCGGACACCTAATAGCAGTGGCCTCCAACCTGTCCAGTTTTAGGTTTTGTCAGACCTTAGCTTTTGTCGGCGCCTCGGCAGGATCTTGCGCAGACCAAAACGATTGATGAGAGGTCGGTGACACTTGGTGACACTGACAAGAACGGACAAGAATCACAAGAACCTCGTTAAAATTTTGTTTTTTACTATGCCATTGTGAAACGGACAGGACCAGTTGCCAGCTACAACTTTACAAGACCTTGCAAGAACATTCCAATCTAACTTCCATGGTTCAATGGCTTCAGAGCGCTTCAAGAGCTTCCAGCCATAATGTTTGTTTGCTTGTGTGTCAGGTCAAACTTTTTGCACAGGATAACCTGTCCAGATTGAAGTGCAACCATTTCCCGAAGACTCGTCGGACGCCTGATGAACTCCATCGCATCTCTTGAACATGGAGTCGAGCGAATCACACAGAGTTTTCCAGCCTTAGCCGAAGCCTCATCCCTTTGGACCCTTCATGTGCGCGTGCGCAATCCCCTTCACTTGCCAGGCGCTTGGAGTCCTTGATGGCTGAAGCCGCTGAGATGGCACCTGCTCTGGCGATGATTCGCTGCCATGCCATTGATGCAGGCCTTTATCACTAGCAGCCTCGCATGCATTTGGAATGTCTACAGGGCGTGAGCTTTCACGCCCTGTTTGGATGCAAAGGGATCTTCGCCGTGAACGAGCAGCGGTGGTGGCTCCCGAAACGGGGGTCAGAGGTTCCGAAAGCTTCGGAGCGTCTGCAGTAATTAGGGGTCACCTGTCCTGTGCCGTGTGCACCGCAAGGTGAATGTTTCAGAAGAGCCGTGAGTGTGCCCTTTCGGAGTGCCAGTCCGGCCTGCAACAGTACTTTGCCCCACAGGTGGACAAAGGCGCAACTCCCTCTATGACTGTGTGTGTGTGTGTGCGCGCAATTCCTTCATGTCACTGTGATTGGCACCAGCGAGGGCACTTCAGGGCATCTCGAGAGGTCACACGGGACTTTGAGAGGAACACCTGACACGTCGTGTTCATAGATCCCCAATTCATTGTTCTGTCTGTCTTTGGTTTTGGTGTCTAAATTCATTCATGGCCGAGAAAGATACAAGATCCTGGGGTTCAAGCACTTGGTAAAGAAACTGCCGGCTCACCTCCAAGCCCAACTTTGGACAGTCACATTGGCCAACCCTTTTGAGATACAAAGTCCCCACAACCCATAGTAGCTATGGCCTCCATCCAAAGAGCGACGGCCTCCAACCTAGTGTAGGGATGGCATCCAACCTAAGAGCGATGGCCTCCAACCTAGAGCCATGGCCTCCAACCTACTAGCGGCGTGTTTGGATTTGTGGTGTCCCAGTCTGAACTGGTGTTTGGATCTTGCAACTTCCACTGTTGATCCGATCTCTCGGGAAGAGAAGCCCCGACTTGGAACCGATTGGCCGGATGGGGAGAGCGGCCATGTGTTTACAGGCATGTTCATACTTCCTTCAAGTGGAGTCTGAATTTTAGACCGCGAATGGGCAGAAGAAGACGTGCCCGTTTCGGAAAAGACGCAAGAAGGTTCATGCATCTACCAGTTCCAAGCTCCGCTGCTTGATGGAGCTGTTCTACCAGTGCCCATGATCCACTCACGGGCTCCCAAACATCCGGACTTGGAACTGTGCACCAATGGCATCGAAGACTGCACCTTGCCTCATGATGCCTCATGCCTCAGCCGCCACGCAGACACAGATCTTTGACAGAACAAGATCAAGAACACAGGACTTGTCCCATTTGTTTATGACCTGTATGTTTAATGTTTTTACAACAGAGGCCTATGAAGCTACTTCTTCCACGACTCTTCAGAGAGATGCCTTCTCGGGTCCAAGACTTGGAGGACAATTTGTTTTCTTTGACCAATTTTTCTGGGTGAGTTGGTCATCGGATGCAAAGATGTGCAAAGGCACGTCAAACTTAGGGGCCTTCCTGACTTAGAAGTGTGGCATACTCAGCCTTGGAGGAGCTCCATGTGGCTCCCTGTATGGTTTTCTCCAAGTTTGTGACCTCGCCGCCCCTGCGTGTGAAGCCCCGTTCTCGGTCGATGTGGCCATGTCGCATACGCGTGGCGCTGACATCGGCACTGCTGGGTGTGGAGTCCTATCAGCCGACCTTTCAGGAACTGGTCGTCGTTCGTGATTTTGCGGGGCTGTTTCGTTTGATCCTACTTTGGGCAAATCACAGCCCTGTGAACTCTATGATTCTAAAGAGGGAATCGATGATTTCGGGCAAAAGAAACATCCCTTGTGGACCAAAAACTGGTGGCAGATGCAGGCGATACCGCCGCACGGCGCCCGCACGGCCGTTCGCACGGGCACCAGCTTTTGCTACCGTAGTTTGCTCTTCACTACTCATAGCGATGGCCTCCAACCTAAGAGCGATGGCCTCTCACAATAAGGATCTGTGACACAGGAGTTGCACTGGGAGCTCTTTGCCAAAGACTGTGAGGAAGACCATGTGGTGCAGAACTTCTCCAACCCGTTGCTGGGCAGCCGACATGGAGGGACGTTGGATATGTTCGGACTTCGGACATCTGTCGGGAGAAGGAGTGACTATAGTTTAATGAAGAGGGTATAAACATACATTTCAATCCAGTTGTTTTGTTGGGGACGTTGGTCCAACTGGCACCCTCACATCACTCAAACAGGGCTTGATACCTTTGGGTCTTGGCTCTAGCAGCCTCTGACTGCAAGGCATTCTTCTTCCCTGACCTGTTCTTCCCTTGTTGTTGCGCTCTTACACCTTGCAAGAACGAGTAAAGCGTATGCTAGTATCAGTATGTTCCGCTTTGTTCTCCCCTCAGATGAGTCGTCTCCAGGAGTGCGGGGTGGGCTCTCTGAGGTTTCTATAAGGGCTTCGGCACGGGGGAGTTGCATGAAGCATTTTCGTTTTCAGGGTCCGGTCCACTTAGGTTGGAGGCTATCGCTATTAGGTTGGAGGCCATTGCGATTAGGCCATCGCTATGTCTGGTCTGCTCCCATTTTTAGGCGTCCTTGGGGTCGCTGCTAGATGTGAGCAGAAACATGCACAACAAAACCATCAAATCTTGAGCGAGTGGACTGGAGGCTCGATAGATTCACCACAGCAGCTGAAGTATGAAGCGTCCATTGCTCCGATACAACAGTGAATAACAGTGATCTCTGTGCGAAAGAGGAGACTTACACAAGTCACAAGGCTATCTCCGTACATTCTCAGCTGGGTGGAACATACAGCCCAAAGCTACTGCCATGTTTTGGAGCTTGCAACAAAGGGTGTTGTCCTGCTAGGTCCTAGGTGTTTGCCTTGCGTGTTTGATCAATCACTAATTTTAGTTTGCGTTCTGTTGAATTGATTTTTTGGGGGCGTAGAAGGTCTTTTTGTTTGAGTACAAGCGCGGCACCTGGCTTTGTGGGTTGTTCCTCGTCGTAGTTTGTGCAAGCCTCGCTTCGGCTGAACGGCGCCGTGCTTCGCCCGCAAGGTATGGCATCCGGCCGAACTTCAAGAACTATCCACACTCGAACCTCTTGCCACAGTTCTTCACCGAGATTCTCGCTTCTCGCACTGCAGCCATAGGATCACCATGAATCACCAATAGGGTCACAGCCCTTTTCATCGAGTCAAGAACCTACAAACTCTCTCACTTGAAGATGTGTGGGTTTCGACGCCCTCTTTTTGTGAGTGTCTAACTCCGCGATAACCTCCTCGTCGAGGCTAGAGACAGGGCATCCGATTGGAAAGATCGGGATGCCGGGACGGGGCAGGTGACAGGTGTGTTCTTCAGGAAAAAAGGCTTCAACATGCTTCAACATCTTGAAAGTGCGTGGAGAAACCGTGTTTCAAGCGTATGGAGATCGGAAGTCCATGGCAAAGATGTTGAGTCTGCGCAGTCTGCGCCAGTCGTGCCTACAGTGCTGACTTTGAGAGAGTCTCAAAGGCGATGCCTCAAACGGCCGCCACTCACCTCGGCCGCGTCAAATTGAGACCAAATCCATCCGAATCCTAGGATTCTGATGAGCAGCTCTTGCTTAAAAAGGTGTTCAGACGTTGCAGAACTTCACGCTTTGTGTCGTGGAACTGAGGACATCCTACAGCTGGAACAAATGCCGCGCTTCATCGCGGAGGTGTGGGACCACTTCGGGTGTCCCGAAATTGGGTCCGACCGACCGATGGAAGCCACAGTGTCTTGAAATCAAGACAAGCAGAAAAGCATAGAAAAGCAGAATGGTCTCTGAGTTGGAGAACGTTCAACAAGATTGAACACTTGCAGCTTGAAAGACTCAGATTGTGACACATCCTTTTCGTCTCCGTTTTGTCTCCTGAGTCCTGAGTGATTCCTTTGTGATCCTGCTTGTGGGGATTGAAAGCTCTGTGATTCCGCACCTGCTTTCCATGGAACATCGATCCTTGTAGCTGCTATAGATCCAGTAAAGGGTGGGGCTTGTGATTCGCATTGCTACACATCTGTGCTTTGTTCCAACACATCCTTTATACACTATTTATTTGGCAGATCTGAAGTAGAGTTCTTCCAGAGAGTTCTTGCAGAGTCGTCTCATGAACTCAGAAGAGGGCTTTAAGTGATCCACATTCCATACAAAACAGAACAAATCTCTTCCAAAAAACTGATGCACTCGAAGCACATGTTGAAATCAGTTGTTTCTCCGCTCCCGAAGCACGGATTTCGGACGTCGCTCCAGATTTCGGCGTTGTCCAGGTCGGCTCCCTCCACGGGCACAGTGCCATCCAAATGGCCACTGTCTTGGACCAGCTGGGGATGACGCAGGCAAAGCAAAGCGACTTTTTTGGCGAGTCAATGTTCCGAAATGGAATTTTAGCGGCTTTTGGTAGTCATCCTGGTCCTTCTTCCTTTTTTATGTCAACCTTATTTTAGGCTCCGGTGAGTGTGTTCCATGGTGAGAATCCGTGTCTCAGTCACGTCCCGAAATTGTTCCACCCGCCTTTTGTGCCCGTGCATCGATCCTCCAGGTGCCCATCCTTTGCATCGATCCCTTTACTGGAGACACCAACATGTGGGCCAGCTATCAGACCGATCGGTCGGTCGCCGGCTGGGTGAGCCTCGGTTTTTTTCGACAATTGTGCGCACGCCCGATTCGGGGCCGACCGCCGGGCCAAGTGCGCCAAGTAATACTATTGTTTGTTTTGTCTTCATTGTTGAAGTTGTTGTCGTTTTCATTGATTTCAGTGTTTGATACATGTCACATGTCCCTAAAGAAATTGCATGAAAGGGCTGACATGTACCAACATTGGACGGCAAGGAAAGGTCCAGCTCCTGTTCGACTTGTATATATATATATATATACATACTGAGACCTTATCAGTGGCTCGGGACTGCTAATGTTGTTCGTTTTCGAGAAGTCGGACCAAGCGGGCCGAAGTGGGCTTCGACCCTCAGACATGTCCATGGGTCCGAAGGGTCATAGATGTTGTCGTCACCCCGGGTGTCTGTCGACCAAGGCGGACCACGGCGGATCCATGGATTTCTTCGAAGCAACCCCCTTCAAAGAATCATGGAAGCTGAGAAGACCCCCCCATTGAAAAGAAGAACATGGGTCAAGTAGGGCAATTCCATGCCACATGCCATGCCCAGTGTCCACTTCCATCCATTCTTTCAGATCTTTCAGATCTTTTAGTATCACAGGAAGATCATTGACGGCCGCATGACCGTCTTTGACCAGTTCATGGCCAACGTGCAGTTCGCCGTGAACCGCAGCGTGGCTCGGCTCTCCGGTTCGCTGAAGTAGTTCCGGACTGTGTCATCGCAGAATTCGGGAAGTGGGGTGGATCAAGAAGTGTGGGTCGCGTGGAACAGAAAACACTTGACAGGTTTGAAGTAATTGTCTCTTTGCTAGTAGGTTGGAGGCCATCGCAATTAGGTTGGAGGTCATCACTAGTAGGTTGGAGTCAGTTTCTCTTTGCCTGCTTTTGCTGGTGTTTTTCTTTTCGGCACAGACACAGAGCTTTTTCAGAGTGCTTCCACCTGCTCGGATAAGGTCGGAGGACTCTGACAGGCTTTGTTTTCGCCGGACACAGCCCGGACAGATCGAAGATTGCTCCCGAGCCACCGGACCTCATGTAGACTCTTGATGAATAAACTCATATAAACTCCCACCATATGAAGAGGTATTTCAATCCAAATGGGAGTCTACATCAGGATGGAGGCCATGGCTATTTTCCGAGCCTTCTCCGCATTCGGAGACGCTGTGCCACGGCTCTCGCCGTCGCACCATGAGGTCTCAAAGCATCACATCCTGCCCTTTCAGGCACGATGTGACACGAGGTGACACGAATGGCACAGATGACCAGACAGAAAGGGCTCCATGAATGAGTCTGGAGTCAGCATCCACCAAGCGACTACTAGTGACTACTCGGACTACTCGTCAACAAAGGATACTGCATGTCGTGAAACGATGTGAAACGCATGTTGGGTTGTCTAGTTGGATTGCAGTACTAGGTGTCCGCGAAGGTGGTTGTGGTGGTTCTTTTCTTGGGATATATGCGTGCTTGCCTTTCCTTAGGATGACGAAAGGACATGGTCAATTGTACTACAAAGTTGTCAAGCAACGCATCCCGTTTTTGCGTAACATATATATATATATATTTTTTTTTTTTAAAGATCAAAACCAACATCCTCCAAGAGGTCACCACCAATTTCAAACCTCCACATGCCACCAGAGGAGACCTGTAGAGACGGGTGCTGGTAAATATGTGTTACTCGTATTACATAATAACATCTCAACCCATACGGTGTACTTACCCGACTTCAGCTGGTGAGAGTTGCTGGAGTACGGCTCTACCCGAACAAGAACCGCACAGAGATGGCCACTGCCAAATGTAGGGGGAAAATGCTGGACACCTTCCCAGAAACCGGAGTGCAAGCAAACATCAAGAAACTCTACAACAACCGGGCTGAAACTGGCTGGAGATTCAGTTGGTGCTTTTGCCCGGTCACTATAGGTGGAATTTGCTTTGCTTCCGCAGTGAAGGAAGTGCCACCACCGCTGCCGAGTATCGGGTTCAACCAGAATCCAGGATCGGTTCTGGTTCCGCTCCTCCTTGGAGAGGGAAATGAGGAAAAATCTCGAGGGTCCCAGAGTTCGATCTGAATCCTGTGGGTCCCTTTCGGCCGTTTCACTCGCCACTCACGTTCGATCTTTCGGTTAGATTACCTACCCTAAGCGATCCTGCACAGGACAGAAGCGTGGCCGATGGCCTGAATCATGCTGACAGCAAACCGTGGGCAAATCACATGGGTTCAATCCCATCACAGGTATCCACATTGTTCATGCCCTACGCAACCAAACCCTATAAATTTGTAGGGTCTCAATCGGAACCTCGGGTATTCTTGTGAAATCAACAATACCTCAGGTTTGTTCTTAAAACCTCGGGTCTTGCTTTTCTAAACCGTGCTAAACCCATATTTAACCCGTACTGAACCCGTACTAAACCCGTATTTTAATATTGGTTTGGAAAACCTGGGGTTTCCTTCAGAAACCCTAGGTATTTCCATCGACCCTACAAATTTATAGGGTTTGGGTGCGTAGGGTGGAACTGGTGATTTTGTGAGGCGACTCTTCGCAAAATCCCTAACAAAAGTCTAAGAGTGTGTGTTTTTCAATCGATTCCTCGGCAGCCAACAATGTTGATCGATCTATGTGTTTGAACTATATGAAATTATATTAGCCATTGAGGGTGCCTTCTTTCTTCGCTGCCCATACAGTGCCCCGTTGAGGCCACGAGCACCGTCGGCGCCCGTTGGTTAGCGCAGAAGGGCTTTGTGCCGGACTTGATGCCTGGCCAGACCAGAGGAAGAGAAGATAAAGCTCCTACCAGGACTCCTACCTCACTACATCTCACTACACCTGAATGCGTAGGCGAGATAGGAGTTATCGCTAGTGCATTTGTTGGTGTGTGTTTATTTTTTGGGTTTGTTTGTTTGTTTGATTGATCTTTATGATCTATATATCATATATAGTGAAGAGTTTCTGATGGCCTTTCACAAGATCTGCCATCGACCACTCTGCGCCGTGATTGATCAAACACCCTGGAAGGGGATGCCCAATCTGAAGGACAACGTGCTGTGCTTGACCCCAAGCATGCTCATCCTTCGGCTTCCAAGGATCTTCTTGGACTCGGCCCATGAATTGGATGAGACATTCTTAGTTGCTTGGTGCATCCAGTGTCCCCCGTTGTTCCACCCCTTTAGTCGCAGCTGCATGTGAGCGAAACAACAGGGTATTATGGGGCATCTCATGCAGGCATCTCATGCAGAATGCCATGCCAGGTGGCGGAAACACACTCCTTTTGGGGGAATTCGGAATCCGCATACAAAGCTCTCGCTCAAAATGATTCGGGATGGTCTTAGTCATTGTGATTCGATTCAGCTGTGCAGCAGTTTACACCCTCGATTCAGCTGTGTTCCAAGGAGCTGTCGTTGTACTTCAAGCTCTTGAAGCCAGGCGGAATCCTCTTCGGTGACGACTATGGTTGGCCGGCTGTAAAGGAGGACGGTCAGAAAGGGGAGATGGACAGAATTGAGAAATGTTCAATATGTGGTTTGATCATCTCAAAGCTCTTTTATCCAGTCCAGTCCTATATTTACTTTTTCTTTTGCAAATTGAACAAACTCACAGATCACTTCCATGGTAGTTTGAGGTGAGATCTCCCACTTCAATTCGGGTTTCAGAAACGGCAGCAGTTGGACACCCCAGACTTCGCACTTCTGGACCTTCAGTGGTTGGATTGTTCACTTCTTCGCCAGGATGTGGAACGCTTCGTGGAAGAGCACCAGCGCCAGCACGGCGCCGACGACCCCATCGATTTGCGGATCGTCCGCGCACAAGCGGGCGCCACGAATCTCATTTGGATCATGCGCAAGGCCAAGCGCGAGCCGCGCGAGCTGGACGAAAAGAACGCAGCTGACCGATGGGGGCGCGTTGGCACGGCATTCGCATGCTTCAGCATCCATGAGTGCTGGAAACTGGTTGAAGGGGGTGAAGGGGGTTGTCGCGGGGTGCACAACTGATGTACCCTCTCATAGGTTGGAGGTCATTGCTGTTAGGTTGGCGACTACCCCAGTTGCCTCTTCAAGGCGTTTTGCATGTGGACCACTGGGATTCGAGGTTCAAAGGTCTGAACGAATGTCTTCGGAAATGGCGAAGGTGGCAGCATTGATTTCCACCGGTTTAGGGGTTTCTGTCATGTGTGACACCGGAAAACACTGAGCGAAATCTATTTGACTTACCTCGTTTGAAGTCATCACCGTTGTGAATCCAATGTTCATCTCTCCAATTTGCATTTCTAGATCGGGTACGAGGAAATCACAATTCAGCTGGAATTCTATCAGACAAAATGGATTTCCCATTACACAGTGGCTCGCTTCGATTGCAAGAATCTAAGCAAGCAGCAAGATCCCAAACAGAAAGAACTGCTGGCACACTTTTCAAGATATCAAAAATATCAATCACCAGTCAATACCGGTCAGCTGAGCAAAACGAAATCAAAACACGCTTTTTTTGGCGGGGTACCTGGACGGCTCCCTTGTTCTGTACGCAGAATATGGTTTTTCCGGGACATCTTCGCCGCTTCAGGCGCTCGGTGCGGAGGACCTGCGGCAGTTTTGGTCCTCCTTCGCTGCGCTGGACGGGGAGCTCGAAGTCCTGACAGCAGTTCTCGGTGGAAGAAATCTGTAACTAAGAGCGATGGCCTCCAACCTACTAGCAAAGGAACCTACTAAGTGCAATGGCCTCCAACTTAGAAGCGATGGCCTCCAACCTAATATCAATGGCCTCTGACCTAAGAGCGATGGCCTGGAATCCATAGGAATCTGACTGACTGGAATTGGCTGTGGGTCAAAACCGGGGAATGAACGGATGTCGACTGGGAGGCGTTTCACTGCTTGACCTAGCTGTGATTGTTTTTCACCCAAGGGACATCAACCTTCCAGCGTTTGAGGGTGGAGGTTTTGATCCTCTGCCAATTCTGACCACCATGGGACACCAAATCCCACTGCCAAGTCTGTGTGGAATTCCATGGAATTCCTAGAATGTCCAACAACCAGGATATTCCTGTTCCCAAGTAGAGTAGAGAAGCTCTTAGTGTCAAACCGGGAATGTTTCGAGAATTTATTTGGGACCTCGATTTGTAGATGGAGAATCCTCCAATGGCAAAAAAAACATGGTTCGTTTGGACGCGGAGGCTGAAAAGGTCAACAACCAACAAACTGCCCCCCCCCCCCAAAAAAAAAGGCAAATATAATCCCCAGTTGAGTGAGTGTAAATTCTCATGGCCTTGTGTGTTGTTGAGACCCAGGAGAGACTCTAGAACCTGATGATATGTGTTGAAATGATTTTTGTCCTGCTCCCCCCCTCCCTACTGAATAACATGTAATGACATGTAATGACTATAATTACATAAGGGAGAGTAAGCTACTAGCTATTTAAGCTATACTACCTACTCCAGAACCATTTTCAAGAAATCAATTTTCATTTTGTTCTTCGCAAGTCGACAAAGCCATAGCGACCCTATATATATATAGGAATCGTTCGTCCAAGTTACCTTCGAACTGAGCGGCTGAGTGAAAGATTCAAAAGGGGCATCCCTTGGGGTTCCACGCTTTGAAATATGTTCAGTGGCCACGAGCGCAGAGGTTATTGTTTATCCCGTTCATCCAGTTTCTGGGTTTTACTTTTCACACATCACATGACTCTGCAGATGACTTCAAGGTCAAGTATGGAGTATGGATTCCTCAACTTTGCCCTGGCCTTGAACGATATATCGACTGACACAATCTCGATTACGGTGCTGTCTTCCATAGACAGGGCGTTGGTGCCCTGAAAAAAAAAACACCGGTCTCCCGCAGTCATGCGCGTGTCAGTCACCCCTGGTACGTCAAAAAACGGCGTGAGAATTCATTCCAAGGCGTCTCCCAAGGCGCCATGCAATGGTTGGTCCCTGAAGGTGGATGCAAACTGTACTGGATCACTGTTCCCTCGATCCATCTCGATCCTCAGGACTTGCACAGTGGCACAGGTGTGGGTGTTTGACGCACAGCCGCATCGAGAAATCGGTCAAGATGAGAAGATGGCACCAAATGAAAGCTCCGAGCAACACAATTTGGGTGTGGTGACAACACATTTCGGTTGCGTTCATTGTGAAGACGGCTTTGCCTCCAATCCTGACTGAGCTGCAGGGTTTGCAATCTGAAAGCGTACGTTACATCGATTCCCCGCCAATGCTCCGGCATTCGCAGTAGTAACAACAAGCTAGTAGTAACAAGTGCATCGCTTCTAGTAACAAGTGCCTTACT